AAAAGAAAAGAAAAAATAGCCAAGTGTTGTGGTGGGTGCCTATAGTCCTGGTTACCTGGGAAGCTGAGGCAAAAGAATTGCCTGAACCGAAGAATTTGAGGTTGATGTGAGTTAAGATGCCATGGTACTCTACCAAGGGTGACCAAGTTAGACTTTGTCTCAAAAAACAAAACAAAACACAAACAAAACAAAACAAACACAAAGAAATGAATGTTATCAGAATTAACATATTAGAGCAGTGGTCCTCAAAGTGTGCCTGCTCCCTTCTAACGCATTATTGGGAAACCTATAAGAATGCAAATCACCGGGCCTCCCCCCAGATCCACTGAATCTGCGTGTCAGGGCCCAGCCAGCAGGTGCTGCTAATGCAGGCTGATGCAGCATGCCCATCAGTACAAGGAACAGTGACTCACGTCAGTCACAATCTCCTCACACACTGGATCCTAAATGCATCCCACAAGCACTCTGAGTACCATTTGTTTCCACAGGAAGCCATCCATTCTCTCATGACGGCCTGGAAAGTTTCCAGATCCACCTGGGGGTCTCTCTTCTCAGGATCAAGCACATTCCACAGCTCCTCAAGGCCACTGTCTTCCGAGTCTTGGCTGCTTGTTTGTCTCAGATAATTCATTATTTTGGCCACTCCTACTGAACCTTAGGAAGAAGACAGGGAAATTAGTTCTTAAGGATGTCAGAAACCTGCCTTTCTCCAAAGATACGCTTTCTCTGAAGATACAGGGATTGCTGTAATTAGCCTGCAGTAGCAGCACCTGAATGATGTCGAAACTGCTTGCTGGGCCCTGCCACACAGATTCAGTAGATCTGGGGTGAAGCCTGGAGATTTGCATTCTCACAGTTATGCTGATAGTAGGGAGTGGACACACTTTGAGAATCAACCTTACCTTCGTACCTTACCTTTCTTTGATAGAGTCTCACACTCTATTGTCCTGGGTAGAGTGCATGGCATCATGGCTCCCAGCAACCTCAAACTCTTGGGCTCAAGTGATCCTCTCGGTTCAACCTCCTGAGTAGCTGGGACTACAGGTACCCACAACACCTGGGTAGTTTTTCTATTTTTAGTAGAGACAGGGTCTCACTTTTGCTCAGGCTGGTCTCAAACTCCTGAGATCAAGCAATCCACCTGCCTCAGCCTCCCAGAGTGCTAGGGTTATAGGTCTGAGCCACTGTGCCCCTCTCCCAAGATATACTTTTAACAAGTGTGGTCCTTAACTCTTTCATGTCTCCTGGCTCTTAGAAACATGCCATGCAACCCTCACTGTGTTGTCAAGCTGGCATGGTACAGCAGACCACTGGCCTTGAGCTAGAATCTAATGGACCTAGTGTCGACTCTTGGCTCTGATGATCACCAGCCGTGTGACTTTGGAAAAAAATCTAAGCCTTGGTTTCTTCGTAAGATGTGAATGGTGACATCAATCATATAGAGTTATTGTGAGGTTTAAATATCAATACATGTAATCAATAATTACTTATTGGAGGTGACCAAAATGAAACTTTATTTTTCTCTCATTCTTTTCTTATGAAGCATTCAGTGAAGGAAGTTTTTCTTTGGCTCTGTGGGAGTCCATTCTCAGACACAATCAGTCCCATAATCACATCCAGAAATTAAAATCATCTAAACTATGTTAGTAATTGACCTACTAATCTTTAAAAATAGGACTTCTCAGCCAGGCACAGCAGCTCATACCTATAATCTTAGCACTATGGGAGGCCAAGGCAGGTGGATTTCTTGAACTCAGGAGTTTGAGACCAGCTTGAGCAAGAGTGAGACCCTGTGTCTACTAAAAATAGAACTAGCCAGGTGTTGTGGCAGGTGCCTATAGTCCCAGCTAGTTGGGAGGCTGAAGCAAGAGAATATCTTGAGCCCAAGAGACTAAAGCTCTTGTGAGTTATGATGATACCACATTACTCTACCCAGGATGACCGAGTAAGACTCTGTCTCAAAAAATTTTTTTTAATTTAATTTAATTAATTTAGATAACATTTGTCTTTTACTCCCAAGTAAAGCCTGCCTTGGGCTCGTTGCTTGCCAGGAAGAGGGGAAAATAAGTAGAAAGTTGATACGATTGATACAAGAGTAAAAGGTTTTCTCTTGAAAAGTAAAGACAGACCATGATACAAAAAAAAAAAGTGTCATAACTTGGAAGAGGAGATAGTTTTGTAAAGGAGACTGAATAACTTTAAAGGGAACATTAAGGTAATATAGCATGTCATTTAGATGTGATAGTAAGGATTGGAAAGAGAAATAAAATTACTAATAAAATTATTTAGAAAGATTATTCTTCATTTGTAAAAATGTAAAGAAAGCTATAAAATCAATAAGAATATATCTCATTTCCTCCACCAAAACCTCTAACCCTCTATCAGATACTTTAAAACTAGAAAGGTCTTCTGTGATGGTTAATTTATGTCTCAACTTGACTGAGCCATGGGGTGCCCAGATATGTGGTCAAACATATGGACAGAGGAAATTGTGTAAAGATACTAAGCAAATCACTAACAGGGAAATGAGATTACTGAAAAATGTTTTTTTCCTCTTCTTTCTGTTTAGCAATAATTCTATTACAATGAGTGCAAATCATTCATATACTAAAAATTGCTTGTGGAAATTTTTAAAAGGACACATCTCCAAAAAATATAGAAGTGAAAAATCTAAAATTAACTAAAAATTTTCAGTTAAACTTGTATAGTGGTTTTATAGATTTAAAAAATATACTTCTTAATTGGGGAAACACCTGACAAGTAGTTCCAGTCAATAATTAGAACTGGTAAGTCAGCTGCTAAATTCAATAAAATCATTCAAGTCACTATTACAATATGCAAAATAGGTACAAAGAATTTGCAAGGAAATAACTAAGATCTAAACCGCCAACCTCTTCTCCAAATTAGGTTGCATCCACATGGGTGTACACAGATAGAGACATCCTCTATCCCCGAACCATTTCTCTTTCTCTCCTAATAGAACACATGACTTGGTTAGTACCACCAAACAATGAAAAGCAGATCATTTTCAACTTACCTTTGTGTTTTGTGTCACATGCATAAAAAATACTTGTGAGCACCTCTTCTTCCTGGGTCCTGCTGATGCTGTCTGTTGTATTTTCTTTGCCATCACTGACTCCTTGTTTCCATCCTAT